TCATACTTTTTGTGGCTGAGTAGTATTCCATTGTATAAATACACCACATCTTCTTCATCCGTTCATCTATGGGTGGACATTTAGATTGCTTCCATGTCTTGGCTATTGTAAATAGTGCTGCTGTGAACATCGGGGTGCATGTATCTTTCTGAATTAGAGTTTTAATCTGGATATACGCCCAGGAGTGGGATTGCTGGATCACAGGGTAACTCTGTTCTTAGTTTCACTATGCTGTACACCAGAAACTAACACAACATTGTAAATCAACTATACCTCAATAAAGATAAAATAAATAGTACACTGAGAAAAAAAAAACCCTGATGGACCCAGGAAGATGCTTTCTTTCTCTGTGTGCTAGGACTCTTCTGGAGACATACAGGTATCTCTCCAGTGCTGCAAAACAGCCATTCTTAGACTAAAAGGGCAGCTTTTGTTCCTGCTGCAAAGTTTATACAGTTCTTTTAGATGCCTGGGGCAGATGAGAAGAAGGATCAGGTTGGTATCTGCTTCTTTCTCTCAAATATCTTAGCAATGTGGAACCTATATCAGTCAGAATAGGTTAGGTTGTGCTGCTGTAACAAAAAGCACCTCAAATTTCATTAGGTTCAAGCAAGAAAAATGCATTTCTTGTTCATGTTGCACATCCCCTGAAGAGGGCTCAGCTCACTGGAGTCACTGAGGAACCCAGCCTAATGGAGGAGTCACTATATTAAACTTTCTAGGTTATCATATCAGAAGGAAAAGAGATCTGGAGAGGCCCTTGTGAGAGCAATTAAATGCTCCAGTCTACAAGTGACACATGGCACTTCTATTCACAGTGTGTTGGTCAGAACTGTTAAGTTAGATGCATCCAATCACAAGGGGTCAGGTGGTAAAATCATATCCTGCTCTAGAAATAAAGAGAACCAGAAACGTTTGGCAAACAGCACTAATGGTGACCACAAAGAACATGGGGTTAGGAAGCCAGCTCCTGGGTGCCAGTGCTCTAGGAAAAAGTTCACCCTTTGCTCCAAGCAGGCCCTCATCTTTTGCTATTCAGTTTCAAGCCGGGAGAGGCCCTGTGATGACCCTAATGGGAAGGTTGAGAGAGGAAGTGGTGGCCAGAGGGTCTTCTGTGGGAGAGATTTCGTTACCCTCCGGTGACATTTATTGAATGGCATTTACTATGATGGATGACTCGTGGAAGCATTGCATTTAAATGTTTATCGATCCCATAGTTCACTGGACAGGACCCAGGAGGCGCTCAGAACTGGGCACAGAGCCAGGCCAGCCAGCTGCACTGTATCACCTGGGACTGACAGATGCCCAGCATCCAGCCCACTAAGGGCACAGCATCTTCCTCAGCCCCGCAGGACACATGTGAAACCTTAAAGTTAGTTCTCCCCGTGTAAAGGCGGGGCTGCATCGGCCCAGAAGGATGAGGACTGTGACGAGATCTTGTTTGTCTTCAGATTCACACCAAGGGTTTCTTTTCTTTTCACTTTTCAGTTGTGCAATGAATGTCAGCGGTAGCAGGTACCATGCCTTCTATCCAATCCCTCCTTGGACACTTTCCCACAGCCTGGGAGCACATGCCACCTCCAGTCTCCCTCCATGCTTCTCCAGAGCCTCCCAGGAACCAGAACGTCATGCCTAGTGAAAGCTCTCTATGGACCCTCTCTTCTAAGTGACGCCGAGGACCAAAGGACGCCAAAACGTAGAGTGGCACCCTTTGCACTGCTGCCAAGTGGGAGCAGTGATGCTGGAGACTCCAGGCAGCCCAGATACAGCCACGCCATCTCTGGACTCAGAGAAGTGCCTGAGAGGCAAGCAGCTCAGAGGTCACTGCTCAGGTTCTCGAGGATTCTGAAGGAAAAGGCTGCAGGTGCCCCAGCAGGGGAGGGGCAAAAGTACAATGCAAGTTACTCCTTCCACAAGATTAATCCTACCTTGCTTATCGTTCAGACTCTCGAGGGAGCTTCAATTGAAAGGGGGTTTTACTGCTTGTCTATGGTTGACAATAAATAGTTAAATCCCAATTTTTGACCTTGAAAACCTTTTCCTGTGATAATATTTGTAAGGACTCTTTGAGTTGTGACACACAGAACTCGAATGGGATTAAGGGGGAGAAAAGTGAATTAGTGGCCAAATAACTGAAAAGCCAACATATAGCTCGATCAGGGTTTCAACTCAACTGCTTGTCAGGAGTCTCTCTCTCTCTCTCTCTTCTTTCTGTCTGTCTCTCTGTCTGTCTCCACCTCCATCTATCATCTCCATCTGTCATCTCCATCTCATCTCCATCTCTCTTTCAATCTCTCCCTCTCTCTCCTCTGCTTTCCTTTGTTTTTCCTTCATTCTCATGAAGCTAACTCTTTTCATGAACCAGCAACACAACAGGACAGGATACTCATTCTTAGAACCAAGCACCACCAGCAGAAAGAGAGCTGCCCTTATCCCCCTAGTCCCAGAAAACATCCCATGAGTGCCTCCTCTTAGCCCAGCCCCAGTCCTTTGTCCATCCCAAGCCAGCAATGGGAGTCAGACAAGGCAGTACAGCTGACCAGCCACCTGAATCCAGAGCTGGGTGTTGAGAGCTCAGCCCCCCTGGCGTGGCAGGGACTGAGTCCTGCACGCTCCCAGGGGGAGAACGGATGGGTAAGCAGGCAGAAACACCTGCTAACCGCCACAGAAGTGCTGAGCCGCATCTCGCTCCCTCCCCGAGCAGCCATTAGTCACCGTTAAATGGCTCTTCCGTTTAATTCAGTAAGTTTACTGTTGGGCCTGAAGATGTTGAGCCCAAACAAAACACTGGCTGTCCCTCCTTAGTTCCTCTTCTGGGCTTCACGGTGGTCAAAAGACAAAAAAGTGAGTTTCTATGGGGGTCCAAGTGTCTGCTCCCTGGGAGTGGGACTCTAGAAACTTTAGAAGGATGTGCAGGACGGATGCTAACTACCAACCACAGGACTGGGCTGAGGTTTTTAAAAGCTTCCAGTTGTTTGTAAAATACAGTTGCTTTGTCCAAATTTGCTACATTCAAATTAAAATCTCTGCTTACCTAACTGTTTACAGAAACCCTCACAAACGAGATTAACAATTAAAAAAAAAGACTAGACAACAAGATAATTAAGTCTGATTTGCTCCAGAGCAGATTGGTGACAGCCCTGGAAACGTGCCAACACTAATTGACTGGCGATATTTCCCATACAGTTAATTGCAAAGGGTCGTTGAAAGCCCTGAAACCCTCCCAGGCGCCCTCAGCCGAAGTGTGGAGAAGGGATTTAGAAGTGTGAAGGGGACCGGGGTGGGGAAGGGGGCCCGCCGGGGACACCTGGTCCTTCCTCTCCTGGAGCGCTGTTGCCATCGGTGCCGTCAGATCCCGTCACCTCTCTGGCCTTTGGTCTTCTGGACGGTAACGTGGTCGTGGGCGCTGAGGGAGGAGAGGCCAGGCCAGAGAGGGGCGACCAGCCCTTCTCTGCTCTCCCCCAGCTTTGATCAACCTGCGACCATGTGCAAGTCCTGTGCTGGAAATAGCAAGGACACAAAGATGTGCCTGCAGGTCACTTGAGCAGCCATGGGTAACTTTTAAAATGTCAAGAAAAATGATACAAATGGACTTATTTATAAAGCAGAAACAGACTCGCAGACATAGAAAACAAACTTATGGTTACCAAAGGTAGGCGGGGGCAGATAAATTAGGAGTTTGGGACTAGCAGATACAAACTGCTATATACAGAATAGATAAACAACAAGGTCTTATTGTACAGCACAGGGAACTAAATTCAATAGCTTGTAATAACCTATTATGAAAAGATAAATAAATATATATATATATATATAACTGAATCACTATGCTGTACATCAGAAACTAACACATTGTATATCAATCATAGTCAATAAAAAAATTAAAATAAAAATGTATGTTTGGGAAAAAAAATGGCAGAACAAATTCAGTGAGCTACCAATAACAGGACGCTGGCGCTGAGGAAGAGATGGGTTAACCAGCAGGGAGAAAAGAGCACGAGAATCAAGGAAGACTTAGTTGGGAAGATTCCCTTTCAGTGAGGCCTTGAAGAATCAGACTTAGGTGCTTGGAGGAAGGGAGGCGAGGGGAGACCAGCCTGAACAGGGAAACAGTGGGGTGTTAAGGGAAGACTGAACACGTGAGTGAGGCTGGAGTGTTCTGGCCACTGAAAGAGTGTCCTAACACTCTTTGGGGGCCAAGACCCTCCATCCCTGTCTATCGGCAGAACTCACACGGGACCAGGAATCTCACAGGGACCGGGGACGCCCTCGCTCGGGAGGCAGACATGTTTCAGGGTACGAGGCTGTTAGTGGCCAGGTTTCCTTGCTGCCCCCTCAGTGAGGATGTTCTTGGATCTCCGAATTAGTACTTGGTGTTAATTAACTCAGCTCTCCTCTGCCTCTGGATCCCCTCCCTGCGGCGATGAGCCTCACTGACTGCCCGTCACCCTCACAATCTTAGCGCATCCATGGCTTCTGCCTCGTGAAAGCTGTGTATCGTCCTCTCTCTCTGCTTTTTTTTTACTTTGGCTCCTTGCAGCAATGAATGATTTCCTACCTACACGTCCAGCTGAAATCCTCACAAAGGGGAACCTCATTAGTCTTGATGACAGATGACAGATAACCGATTTTGATCATGTCTGGTATTAGTTAAATCAGACACATGGCACAGAATGTGGACACCTGCCAGTAATTCACCGGGGCCCTTTGTCTCAGCCTGGTGCTGTGGGAAAGGACTTCTCAGGAGGGGTTTAGAGTGTTAGGGTGATTGGCTTGTCTGTTGCAAAAAGATACAGGAAAGTTGTCTTAGAATGGTGCCTGGATGAACCTGAATTCTAGACCAAAGATTCTCAAACTGGAACATGTATCAGCACCACCTGGAGGCAACCCCCAGTTTCTGATGCCGTAGGTCTGGGCTGTCCCGAGAAACCGCATTTCTGACAGGTTCCCAGGCAGTGCTGATGCTGCCTGTCCCAGGACCATGCTTGGAAAACACTGACCTAGACTGATTCAGACTCCTCCCCTTGGGCCAGTCTGGTCTGCTGCCTGTGTGTGCATTGCCTGTGAATGAAGAATGGTTTTCACATTTGTAAATTGTTGCAGAAAAGCAAACAAAAAATATTTTGTGACATGACTGTTATATGAAATTCACACTCCAGGGTCCATAGAGAAAGTTTTATTGGAATACAGCCATGCTCATTCGCTTACACACTGTCTACGGCTGCTTTTATGACTCGATGGCAGAATTGCGACGTGGCAACAGAGACCGCAGGACCCAGAAAATATTTGCTATGTGGATCTTTATTGCTGATGGTAGCCAGTTCCTGTTTTAGACTAAGGGGTCTGATATTATTCTAAATGTGTTGAGATTTATCTGAAGAGGAGAGATACACCTAGTCCTAGACATTCCCTTGAGAAGGTCTTTGACTCACTAAATGATCCGGTCCTCAAGTTTCTGCTTCCCGGGCTCAGGATCGAGTGCCCACCCTCCCCCAGGACTGTCTCTGGGCAAACCATCTGAGCCCCCAGGTGAGGATCTACCTCTTGGAAGCTGGGTCAGGGAAGTGAGTTTCTGAATTGTCAGCAGAGCTGATTCCTCCCCCAAAGCACAGCTGCTCTTCATACTGGCTGGTTCAATAGATCATCATCTATTTCCTGCTTAAAATAATTAGTGGGACTGTGTCCTGCTCCCCGGGCCAACCCCAAGGGAGGGGATAGATGTGAGCTCCGTGCTTCCTGGCCATCTGGGCGTTGTTACCCGGCATTCCCAGAGCAAACTTCTTGGAACCTCCTGGCTTTTACATGCCGATAGTCTATGATCCGTTAACTAACTTAAGAGATGTACAGGGATTCGTGGCTTTCTATTCCTTCCTCTCCATCCTCTCCCACATTTGCAATGTTGATTCCCCACCTCCTCCTCCCCATCCTCTTCACTCTTTCCCCCCTTAGCTTGTTAAATTTAGACCAATAATAATAGTAACTAACCCTTAGTGAATGCTTATTTTGTGGGGCTGTTCTCAGCCTTGAGTGTAGATCCCATTATTAGTCCTCACAAGAAAACCATGAGATTTGTAGCATGGATGGAGCTACAGATTATCCTACTGAGTGAAGTAAGTCAGTCAGAGAAAGGCAAATACCATATGATATCACTTCTATGTGAAATCTAAAAAAAAAATGACACAAATGAACCTATTTACAAAACAGAAAGAGACTCACAGACAGAGAAAACAAATTTATGGTTACTAAAGGGGAAAGGTAGGGAGGGACAAATTAGGAGTTTGGGATTAGCAGATACACACTACGTTATATAAAACAGATAAACAATAAGGCCCTACTATATACCACAGGGAACTATATTCAATAACTTGTAATGACCTATAATGAAAAAGAATGCACGTATGTATAACTGAATCACTAGGCTGTACTGTGTATACATATTACGTATATATACATATGTATATATGTACACGTTTCTGTGCACCAGAAACTGACACAACACTGTAAATCAACTAGACTTCAATTAAACAAAAAAAGAAAACCATGAGAAAGGTGGAATTATTACCCCTAAAAAAATGAGGCACAGAGAGGTTAAGCAACTGTCTAACGTCAAACAGCTGCAATTGGAAGACCCAGGCAGGCTGATTTCCAGTCCCTGCTCCTACCCTTATGGGTCTTGCCCCTTGGCCATGCTATAGATTCACTGGTCCTGAGAAGAATTCTGTCTGGAAGATGAAAAGACGCTTACCTCAATCTCTGTTTGAAATGTGAAAGGTGAAATATTCATCAAGCTTTTCAAGGCAAACATCTTTGTGACCTTGAGTAGACGAAGATTTCTTAAACAGAACATGAAAGAGCTAACCATAAAGGAGGAAAAAAAAGATAAATTGGTGAACGTTTAAGTTAAGAACTTCTATTTATCAAAAGGCACCATTAAGAGATTGAAAAGATAACCCTCTTTTTTCCCTCCCTACAGGCAAAATATGTTAGACTCTTCATAGAAAAGGATATCCAAATGGCCATTAAATATACCAGAAAGTGCTCAACTCTATTAGTCATCAGGAAAATGCAACTTAAAACAGTGATGTGATACACTCCACCTCCCCCAAATGAAAAACAAAACTACGCGTTTGTCTTTCAACAACCAAGTGTCGGCAAGGCTGTGGAGCAGCCGGCTGGTGGGAATGTAAACTGATACAATCCCTGTGGACAACCAGCGGCATTTACTGGCACTTAACACAGCCACACCCGGTGACCTAGCCCTTCTAGTCTAGGTGTGTATCCCAGAGAAGTGTGTGCATAGGGTCATCAAAAGAAATGTACCAAACATCTCATAGCAGCACCATTTGTAATAACTCCCAAGTGGGAAATACCCAAATGTACACCAATAGTAGAATGGGTAAGTAGGGTTATACACACACAGTGGAATACTATACAGCCATGACACACCAGCAGCACAAGTACAGTATGGATTAATTACTCTTACAGTGTTGAGCAAAGGAAGCCAGACACAGTCTGCATACAAAGAAAGACAGTCTATGCTGTTGGGGGCAGGATGGTGGTCACCCTGGTGGGATTGGGGTGGGGGAGGTGGCAGTAACTGGAAAAGGGGGCTTAAGGAGCCCCTGGAGTGATGGTCTTGTTCTTTCTTGACTTGGGGACTGGTTATACAGGTATCCTCAGTTTGTGAAGATTCGTTGTGTGGTAGTTCACGTTCACTTTCTTATATGTATGTTGATAAAACATTGATAAAATATTGCTGTTGGACACATAGGTATATTTCAGCTTGTACCTGATCTAACTGTCCTACAATCATGACACTTTCAGATTTCCTAGCCTAGTGTGTATGTAGATATGAGAACCCGTTTATGGATTTTTCACTAAGTGAGCAGTTATGCTCAGAAAAATCCCCAGTCACCTGCCTTGGAGTCACAAAGATACCCAGCCTGAAGGCAACTTCCAAGCCTATTCCAAGCTGAGTCAAATCTCTCAGGCATCTTATCCTATTCTGGTGAAGCAGAGAGAGACTTCTGGAGTCTGATCCGTCGCCCACATCCTAATTGTCAGCAAGCTTCCCTTCTTTATTCCGGGAAGAAACCTCTTTCTGACTCAGCTAACAGGGAGGCTATTTCCTGAGCCCTGGCTCTGCGTTGTGACATCCAAACAGACACGTGAACCAGAACCACCATTCAGTCCCTGAGTCTCGTGAAGGTGAGAGGCTGGAAACGAGCAGGTGTATCTGCCTCAGCAGCTTGGCTGGCTGGGCCCCACGGCTACCCTATTTTAAATGGGAATTAGTTGCCAATACTTAAAAATCAGGTTTCGCCTAACATTCTAGGTTTTTGGCTTTTCCGGAAAAATCAAGTGCCATCCATCTCCCTGAGGCCTGTAATCGGCCCTCTCCCCTTGGCCACCTTCCGGCCTGGGCCCTGCAGATGAGGGGCTGCCACGAGCAACGTAGAAAGTCGAAAAACAGCAGCCAAACAAAACAGCATTCCTGTTCAGACGGCCTTTGTAAGAAATGACCTGGACATTTCGCCAATTGGGTCAAACAGTATTGATGATTCAGGCCCTGTGTTAGGTGTTAAGCCAGTTATTTAAGCATTTTGGCCTTAGCTTCATCATCTTTAAAGTAGGAGATGGAACTCGAGATTTTCTGCAGTCCCCTCCAGCTTTAGATTTTTATCCATCTGTGACTTCAATTAACCCCGGAGAAGCGGAATGTCTAGGCTGGTCATTCCGAAATAGCATGCGTGAGTGTGTGCGTATGCAACCAGCCCCTGTCATGGTCACTGGGGTCCAGCGCTGAAGATTTGGGTCTAGGAGTCTCTTAGTAGCCCTAGGAGAAGGGATCGTGTAAGAAAACCTTCAACCTCCAGACTTCTATTTAAAGATGGTACTGGATGCTCTTATCCTAGAAGCCTCACCAAGCCTCCCCAGTTTTCACACCAGTCTCTGGAAATCCCCAACCACCTCCACTCCAGACCTACTGAATCGAAGTCTGCGTTTTAACAAGATCCTTGGGTGACTTAGATGACATTCATGTCCCAGACATGCTGTTTCAGAATATCTCTTTGGTTCTAGCCGTGGGTTCCTTAAGAATCCAGGACATCCCACCTTCATCGTCATCCCAGCCAACAATCAGGAGGCAAGGAGGACAGTCCGTGGTCCTGGTCTCAGTCCTGGTCTCAGTCTTCCTTCACCGATAACAGACGTCCCAAATGACATTCACACACACATCCCCAGGGTGGGTTAGCCCAGCTCCCCGGGGCTCCATCCTTTTCTCTCCTACTCAGGACAGCATCTTAGAATTTCAGCGAGAAGAAATGACTGCCTCAACTTATTGTAAATTTTCAAAAAGGCCATCAGGTGCATGCGTTCCTTCCACCACGATCATCAAATGACAAATGACTGTGACACTCTTCACAACTGCTCATGACACACCAGTGGAGAGAGACACACAGCAGAGAAGGGCTGGAGTGTGGCCTGGGGAGGAGAGACAGCTCGGGGAGGGCAGGGCAGGGCTACCTGGTCCCCTTCCAGGCAGATACTAATGAGCCTCCCCAGCCCTAACCTCCCTGCCAGAGAAGCCAGCTGGTAATGTGATGAGCTGTCACTGTTCGTTATGGGGACAGCCGGAAGGGCCAGAGGTATCCATAGGCATAAGAAGAGGGCTGTGCTGGGGGCAGAGGGCCTGGAGAAGCGGGGCAGGAGACAAAGAGAGCCCACGCCCAGGTCAGCTTCTGCCCTGCGTGTCCGCTGGGCAGCTCTTCCTCACATAGGCTCTGAGGAAAGGATGCTCGGTAAGAGGGATTGCTTCCTGCACGCTGCTGGCTGGCACGGCCAGGGCCTGCGCACTGGCCAACCAGGAGAATCACTCTGGGAGTCACTCCCACTACCCCAGCAGATCCAGGACAGGGACTGCTGGACAGAAGAGAAAACAGAATGAGAGTGTGGATGGGGAGAGGGCACAAAGCTTTCCTGCTGGTCCTCAGAGGATTCCTCTTTCCTCCAGGTAAGTCAGAGCCACCACCCCAGTGAGTCACTGGGTCCTGGATCTGAGGGCAAGATGCAGCCACAAGATGTGATCTGTTCCAGATCCCTGTCATTAGGAATGGGGTCAGTAACCTTTGTCACAGACGAGGCCACTGAGGCCCCAGATGGAATGCATACGTATGCGTCGGAGAGGAGAGCCTGATGGGAACAGGTTTTGTTTGTGAAGAAACAGAATACAATGTTCAGGATGGAAAGTCCTCAACCATCCAGAGGCTGAGAGTGCTTCGTCAGAAATGAAGTCAGAAAAACTTCTTTCTCTGCCCTGATTTCCTTACATAGCTTTGGAATGGACTTACCTGGACAGAGTACACAGGAATGCTGGCTAAAGACTAATTTTCCCAAAGCACTCTGGTTGACAGAGTAGAAGGAAAAGAGTTTGGCTAGATTAGAGCAAAGATAAATGAGCAGAAATTATGTGTTGGTAGTTTATCAGTTGGAGCGGGAGAATTAATCTACGGCAATACGTGTGTCTCTGGATGTGCGTGGATGTATAATTCAGAAATGGCAGTGAGGCAGCATTAAGGTTGAGAAATGGTGCAATTAAAAGAGTCAAGAACCACCTCTGTGAAGGCTCCTACATCATCATTAATTCAGCCACATTACCTTCCACAAACATCACACGAGGTCCTGTTTGCGGCTTCCAATGACTCACAGAGGAGGACCAGCTGCCGCTGGCGTCTCCAAGGCTCCTTGGGGAAATTAGTGATTTTCCTACTTGACCAGCCTCAAAGTTAACCAAGTCCTGCCCAGCACAGCTGCAACTGTTTATATAGTATAACCCTGAGCGAGCTGGCAGGAGGGAAAGATGAGAGGGCTTAGCTACCCAGTGGTGGCCGAGGTTTCTAGGTCTGGGGTCGGGTCTGAGATTCTGCAATTTTAACCAGGTCCCAGGTGGTGCTGACACTGCTGGTCCTGGGACGCCTCTGAGGGGCGAGGATCTGGAGGCTCTGGACCTCAAGCCCCACCCCAGACCTCCTGAGGCAGGGTCTGCATTCGCACGAGATTCCCATGCTCATTCGTGCTCGGGAAGTGCTGTTTTAGAGGATCTCCTTGGTCTCCTTAGAAAATCTGCGCATCCCCAAGATGAGGCGCAAAGCTGCGCGTGTGCACATATGAGCGTTCAGGACACAGATGGCATTCCCGTCCTGAACCCTGCCGCTCATTTCCCCTTGCTCTCAACTGAAGGAGACCTCGTCGAGGGAAAACAGCGAAACGGGGAACTCAGTACAGGAAAGGAAAGACTAAACCAGGACCTGTGAGCCAGCATGCGACGCCCGCGCCGGGGCAGAGCTCTTCTGATAACACAGGCTGGTGCACAAGCCCCGAGAGCCCAGAAGGATTTCCTCGTCTTATAGAAGTTCTGGGGTCTGTGGGGCACATTGAGCTCTCGGGCCCCTTCAGCCACCTGAGCAAGGACGGCCAGCCGCCTCACCCTCCCAGGTCCAGCTGGGGATGCTGGAGCCAACATGCAGGGTCTGGCCAGCCAGCCCAGAAAGGCAGGGAGCCCTTCTGTCTGACTCACAGGGACAAGGGGTGGGGGAGGGGAATCCGCCTTGCTGGGCACCAGAAGTCAAAGAAGAAAATGATCTCGGCTCCTGTCAGTACGGCCACTAGGTACCCCTGGAGCACAGGGACAGCCAGGTTGCACCTCCTCTTGCCTTTGCGAGACGTCTGCAGGTGGGGCTGGCGGCAGATGCCGTGCCCTCACCCAGCGCTCGCCCAGATGGAGGAGGTAGCAGAAGTCTCCGCTCCCACTGGGCTGGAGAAGAAACACTGGGAGGGAAGTTACCGCTGTAAAAAT